CTGGGGCTCCCACGTGCACCCACAAACAACATCCCACCCAACGCCAGCAAACCAGGGCTGTTCATCCCCTCCTAATACCAAAATAGTGCTTGGAGACTAGTCTGTATTAACAAGACAAGCGAATCTAGGAAAGATCTGCCTCTCATCCAATTGCCAGGTTGTCAACCACATCATACATGTGCAAATTCACAAAAAGAAAAAGCATATTTACCTTAGAGAATAACTGAAAACACACCACTAGTCAAGAGCAACATGACTTTTCCTGTAGGCTTTCAGTAGCTGGAATTAACGCACTTGCAATTTTAGCATTGTTTTAATTCATCTATTTATTTGTTGAAGTCTTAACAAAAGCAGGCTGCTGTACAACTTGTGTCATCCCCCTCCGTTACCGTGTGTGAGCGTGCGCAGGGGAGCAAGCTCAGCTCCCGACTTGTGACTCCATCTTCTGCTGCCATTTCCCTGCAGCCCAAGCCCAGCAGCATTGAAATCAAGTTCAGTCCCTTCTCTACCCACAGGTACCATTACAGGCAACCTCCCTGATAGTCCCATGTCAAAAGGGCTCCCAGAATGGATTTGACTCGAGTAGAAATGGAGGTTCAGTGTAAAGACAGACCATATTATGATTTTACACTGATTCAGTGCAAGAAACCTTTTGTTTACCAGTGGCTTCGGTTTGGGTCACCATTCCTACCAGTTTGCATTTCAGGAGATAATTTTCTCTTCTTTCTTAATCTAGAATTCCACTATAAATTTTCTGCAGGCCAAGTCAGACTCAAAGACTATTCAAATCCATGGAAAAACCTGCACGGCCCGAGCTAGCTCAGGCCCTTCCAGCCACCAGGCCAAGAGCAAGAKGGCAGCGCGGATTTCTCGGCCTCTGCGTAGGTCCGAGAGCCGCTGCCTGCATCACATCCGCGCACGGATCATCACGCAAGGCCGCGCGAAGGCGGCCGCCGACTAGCCGCCAATTACTGGCTCTTTCATGCTGAAAACCTATTTCTCCCCGGGGAACGAGACATCTGCATAATTAGCAAAAGCAGTTACACACAGAATAATTAGCTTGCTGAAAGCCTGAAGGGGGAAAAACTATAATTTTTGCTTCAAGAGGCTGACTAATGACATGCAAAATAACAAAACACAGACAGCCTATGAATTATTGCAAAATCTAACATGGATTTTAGCTCCATGTTCGAGCTGTAAGGCCYTCTGGTATCCAAGCAACGAGCTTGCTTGGCACAGCAAAACCTCCTGCCTTAATGAAACACCTCTGATCACCACACAAAGCCTCCCCCTCCCCACRGCTCGTATCTCATTCCTGTATTAAACACAAAAAACAAGATCCAGATACACAAAAATAATCACACGGCTCAAGATAAACTCAAGAGGAGCGCTGAAGGATCACAGCCTAGAAAAATAAGTATCAATACAACTGAATCACGTGCAAAGTCTTACAAAACTCAGCCTGATTAGAGTTGATATATTAAATTCATACTTTGAGGCAGAGCATGTCCAATTATTTTCAACACTATTACTACTAGTAGACTGAGCAGATTTGTGTTCATTTATCTCGTCTCAGAAAGGTTTAGCTGTTATAAGGGAAATATTTACTGACTTGCAGCACACTTGCTAACCTCTGTATTTCTCTATATACAAAATAGTTGTTGCAGCTGCTTTTTTATTTGAGCTTTAAATGACTTATAGAGACAAGTTATCCAAAGCAGTAATCTCAGGACCAAGAGATCAATTTTAGTCACAGCTCTGCTTCAAACCGATTTATTTAGACTTTTTTCCCCTTTTAGAAGCAGTTGTTTTTCCTGCCTGTCTGGTACTGCTGCACACTGTAATAAGTCAGATCTAACAACTGTTTTCAATCCTGTTGTAATTAGCACATACCGGTGCTCCTGGGTGGCCAGGGCTCAGTTATAGGCAGTATTTTTAGCCAAGAGTTGTTGCTAGTTATCTGTCTGAGAAGCAGAGGACACGAATGTTCAGGCACCTTAACACTACATTAAACCAAAACCATCTCTGCTAGGCAGTCGTGAAGTAACTTAACCTTGCCATTTCAAAGCCACATTCTGACCCCAAACGATGGGAAGCCCTCACTCCAGGGGCACTGCGGCTTCAGCCAGATCCCCCCTGCAGTTAGGATCCTGATGACAGCATGAGCTTGTCCCATCCAAGCCAAGGAACAGCTCAGGACAGAAGAAAATTCAGATGGAGATGACACAGCTTCGGTTAGGGCTGTTTAGTGCTGTGGAGGGCTTTGTTTAGTGCTGTTTTACGCAGAGAAGCGTCCCCAGAGCCGTGGTCCTCACCGGGATCTGTCAGAGCATCTCCCTGCGGTACTAATGCAACCTGGGCACAGAAACAGCACGAAGCAGCAGCACGTGGGAGCTAACGTGAGCTTGCAGAAACCCTCTGCCACGAGAACAGCTCTACCGCGTCTCCTCATCTACTCCAACGCAGGGCAGGTGGCACCATGTTTACAAGTGCTCGTAGCTACTCTGCGTTTACACATTCGCCACGGGCACAGGTGGAGCTTGGTGGAGCTGCAAACTAGAACCAACAGTATTAAGATAACAAGATAGAGAGTCTGGTAACGAATGCTGTAACTCTGCCAGACCGAAAGGATTAACAAGACTGAGGCAGCTGTTTCTCAAGAAGGGCCAGGTTTTCAGACATGCAATATTTATCATCTTCCCTAGTGCCTGACAGCTGCTGGAAATGTCACCTTTGTTCAAAAGCTGCAGGAGGTGCAAGGGACACAAGAAGCCCCACAGAAGCTGGGTTTGCCTTTAGGTCATCATCAGACTCTCCATCACTGCATGAGGCAGCCTCCAAAGGGATAAATAGGTGCTTGCAAAGAGCTGCTCGTACACTAGGTAAGGGGGACAAATTTGGCCCATGCTTGGAGGGTGARGTAGGGATGAACTTGCCTGCAAGACCATGGGAGACTGAAATCCTCCCTCAAACACACAGATATTATCAACAACTAGTGCTSTCATTAGTAGCTTCACAAATAAGAAGTGCTGCAAAATTAATTCATCCAACTATCAACCATTAACGATCTTTCTCAAAGCAAGATGGCAAGACCAGCAGATSAAAGGGAAATACTGTTCCTGTACTCACGGAGGCCGTGACGCTGCTCCGCTTGCCTCAGCTCTCTCCTGGGCAGGACTGTTCTTACAGGGAGATGGACCCAAGCACCAGCTTATATTGGATAAGCAGGAAGCGAGGAAGACAGAAGCAGTATTGGAGTCTGGAAGCCCAACAGGAGTGGAGATGAAGAAYGCGAGGTCAGGTGTGTAAGGCTTCAGGTACCACATGTGTGAGGGACCAAAATTTTCAAATTTATCACCAAAATTATGGCAGAGGAAGGAGTATTGAAAGTCTTACAATGAAGCCCAAAACTATCAGATCTAACATAAATGGATCCTTTGCTTTCCAGGCATTCTCAAGGATCTGCCTGTCCAGAAGAGCTCATCCCTGTTGTCCCACATGTAGCTTCCTACTGATGCTTTCAGTGTTGCCTACAGCCATGAATTGCATTAGAGTGTGCTGGGATGTTAATTAGTCCTAGAAASCAGCACCACAAAAGCCACGGATTAGCAAATAATGGTAATGCAAGGGTGCTAGTACTTGTCTGGATCCTACACATGCTAAAATGATTGCAGAGCTAAAAAACGTACATGGCAATTTTAAAATCAAACACTTCCTTGCTCTCAATTGAGTTTTATTCTTTTCAGTATCTTTTCCCCCAACTCCAAGTACTCTCCTAAGCAGCTGAAACATAACCGATTTTCCAAGATATCTTATTTTTTTCCAATAAATCCCTCTGTAGGCTTAGCTTAAATGTGGTTCGAAATGCTTACTAAGCATTTTGGACCTTAAGAGTCCAAAATCTCTCCCTTCCTGCACTGAAAACAGACCCCACCCACGCTCCCTGTCCCACAGCATTTGTTTAAAATGACAACACAGCAACACAGCTCGCCCCAGGCACCAACCCGCCTCCTAAAACTCCAGACAGCAGCAGCCTGCCTAGCACAACCATACACACCTTAAAGAAAAAAACAAAAACAGGCAAAAACCAACTTACTCTACCACCAGCAAATACTCTTACTTAGCCTAGCCTAGTCTCATCTATTTACAAAGCCACTATTTCCACATGTTATGTAGAAGCACAGCGTTTTCAACCCTGTTCCACCACACAGGTTTCATCATTCCTAGTCACACAAGAGACTATCACATCATATTTTGGCCTAGTCCACTATGTAAAAGTTTTCAGATGAGTCCAGTAATGTTCTGCCTAATAAGAAACACATCAGTTCCAAGTTGTATTTATCTCTGGTCCATTCCACAACTAGCTGCAAGAAATTCCCTTACAGAAATGTTSCTAATAGTGAGCAGGCAAACACAACAGAATAAGGGCTCTGATAACTAACTCTTAATATTAGCTACAGACATAGGAAGTACACAAATCTGGACGATGCAAAATAYAATCCTGAAGCAATATGAACTTTAAAAAGAAAGCTCTTGTGTTATTACTGTACTACACTAGCACTATTAAACTATTACKGCACAACTGCATTGGGAGGTTCACATCCTGCTCTGTGACAAGGGAAGTGAAGAGGCTTAAGTTAATATTGAATTTACATTATGAAGAGTTAAAMCAGAGGCTGTATTTCCCCAATGAAACTCATAAGGAAAAACAGCTTTAATAACATCCTAGTGTTCTTGAAATTTGTCCTTCATTTGCCTTCTGATACCACCACGAGCAAGTTCAAAGAGTAACTAAAGATAGATTTCATTTTCTGAAAAGCCTATGTGTATATTTTGGAACTACCTTTCCTGCTTGCCTTCTCTAACAGAAGGCTTGCTCCACTGGCATTTGAATGTGGAGCCATTCCACATTCACCAAATGTGGTGAATTCACTTAAATTTTGTTTTGGTGAGTGTAAGTTTTCATCATAAAAGAGAAGAATACAAACATTTCTACTCACCACTCGAGCTCTGGATCATGTTTCCAGATTTTTGGACCTCGTCAAATTTTGTAAAAATTACATTCAACCTGTTTGAAAGTTAAAGGAAAAACACACAATGACTACTGGAGTTTGATTTTTAGCAGCCTTTTCATTTAGAATAGTATAGGATTAATTTTGCTTCATTCAATTTCCTGGGAGCTTTACCAACAGTGCCAATAAGGACAGATGTATTTCATGCACAACAATAAAAATATCAGAACATGCAATGGCAGATACAATAGAAAGATAAACCGAAGGGCAGCTACTACAGATGCATCYTAGCGATAAAATCTGAACTACCACATGACTGAATGTGACATTTCTCAYTGTAAACCCTCTTCCAGTTCATTACTGTTCTGCCCTTCCTTTCGCTATTTGAGGAAACACAACAGGAGGAGGGGAAAAAATAAGCTGACTTTATACAGCATTCTTGTTTGGCCCTGACATTTTCCACTCATGTCACAGCTCTGCTGGAGTGGAAGATCTTTATTACAGCTCATTATTCCTTCCTAGAGGGTCTATTACTCAAGGCCAAGTTGCGGCAGAGGGTTCCAGTGGGAAACAGCAGAGGCAGCGTCCCCGTGCACGGCATTCCCGGCGCCTGGCACAGCTGCCACATGGTCCTGCCTCCGGATGGGCAGCACTGGAGGCTGCAGCCAGGCACAGAGCTGCCTTCCTGCTGCCCCCAAACACACACTGCAAATGCACCCACATAGAGGCTTGGCAGCGAAGCAGCGGGCAGGCTGCAGCACAAAGCCCCGGCTGCAGGTGGGGAAAGGGAGATGCCCCATCTGGCTGTGCCCATGGGACCTCACTCAAACATGAGGTTGAAAACACACGGTGGCAATTTTGAAACCTCTAGCAGGTACAAAATCCTCTCCATCTCAGCACCAGGCTCTTTAGGGCTAAACTGCTGCCAATCTCACACATACACCAGCTCTGCCCCAACGCTGCCCTAGTGGGGCAAGGAAAAGGAAGSAGAAATCACACTCGTCCCTCCGCTGCCCTCACTCCCATGGGAGCACCGAGCCGGTGCGAGTAGCAGAGCCCCAGCTCAGGAAGGACAGAGCCAGCAGCRGGGAGCAGCCAGCAGAGCAAGGCAGGATCTTTCTGCAGAATTTCCCTACTGGTATCACGTCCTTTAGTGGGAGAGCAGCACCAGCACTTTGCTGCTTTGCTAGCAGACAGAGGGGAAAGTCTTTCCCTCAGTTCAGCAAGATCCTGAGCAGCTCCTGCTGCTCCTGAGGCCCTTCAGGTAAGTTCCAGAGCCCTCACAAAGGAAAAGTCAGACAGCCCATCCTGACCACTCTGGGGACAGTAAGAGGAGACAGGGCTGCTCGTGTGCTCACTGCAGGCAGCTCAAGTGGAATATTGTGCTCCCCTTCACAGCTCTGCCCCCTCCCTGCTCTCTTTCCTTTCTCAAACCCGCCTTGGGATCTCTTCAAACCCTGCTCCACATCTTCTCTCTCAGAATGTGGACTCTAGGATCACACACCCTCTACCTACCACCTAACGCTGAGCCCAGACACTGGTATCATGATTTAGCAGCAGAAATGGAGGGACAGGCTTTTCTTAATCCTTGGAGCTGGCAAAATTGGCTGGGCGGTTTTCCTTCCCTAACGACATTCTTCTAAGTTGCACATAGGCTACTCTGAAATGACCTCTCTACACATGCAGAACATAAAACACATCACTTCACTAGACTTCTCTAATATTTTACTCTCTTTAGAAAAACATACTGACCATAACTCTGAAGTACTTAGAGGAAAGGAAGCACATTCAACGAAGCCTAAGCGTTTGTAGGACGCAAAAAAAAAGGTCCTAAATCAAGAAGAATTTTCAGCCATGCAGCTCCTGAAACTTGCTGAAATAAGGCAGAAAGCAGAAAAACTCAAGCACGGTTGAAGCATAAAGCCCTTCTCAACTTACCGAGACTGGGGGAGTCCCTTCTTGCTGAGATCAGCCCTCACGCGCTCGCCAACATGCCGGTAGATCTCCACGAGGCTGTTTATTGCTGCATCTCGGACCTGAATGAGATGCAGGAGAAATCACCTTCGGGATTTAAATAAACACATCCCTGCTTTTCCTAGGAGGAAATCTGCATATTTCTCAGAAATGATTGCCTCTTTGGACGTGTGATCACAGTGCTCACAAAGTAGCTTCCACTTCTACATTTCAGATGCTGACAGGATCTGACCTATTTTCATCCAAAAGGCAGCACAGACACAAGAAGTTSAAAGATTTGCCCAGACACACATAGGGCCTTAGGCTGCATTTACCAAATCCCACTTAYTGTTTGCAACAACTAAGTTTTCTGACTCCCAAAAACATAACCTGGTAGAAGCCATAAATAGCCATTATAATTGCTATATAACAATTGGATTTTTTTTTATAAATGCAGTCTCACCAACTTTGTGTTGAGAATAAAAGACAGAGGTAAAAATATCAGTCACCTGCATCTCTCTGTCAGAAGCTGAGGAAGGCTCAGTACTTGATTCTCCTACTGGAGACAGGAATTTCCCAGCCAAAATTTCTCCCAAAATGTGCACTCAGCCTTTTGCAGGCCTGTTCCAAGCCAGCAAGAGCTTTGCAGCAGTGTCACAGATTTCAGTGATATATTACACCTAAAATCCCCCACCCTCTGGTTGCACAATTCTAGTGAGCAGGAAAAGCCCAGGWAGAAGGAAGACTGTGGGAGCCAAGGGCTGGAAACCCCCAAATCTCTGCCCACTCTCTAGGTGTTTTCAGCTTATAGCAAAAATCAGCTTCACGTTAATGCAGCAGCAAAGCACTATCACCAATAAACCAACTGTTGCCTTTTTCTTTTTTTTTTTCCATGTCCTATGCTTTCTGAGTAATCCAAGGTATCTTATGAATACCAAGAATAATTAGCGCAAAGGCTTATGAGCAATTATTTGGCTTGGATTCTTAGCTGAATAATTTTGCATGTTTAAGGTGTTTTGCAAGACACTGGCTGCTGAGCACATCCTTCCCCCCRGCACCTCCCAACGGCCGAGCCACAAGCCTGAATAAAGCACCAAGTTCTGCATTTAAGAACAACCCTGTCCAACACGAGACCCATGACTGCACCCACAGGGAGCAGAGGCAGCCCCCAGCGCCGCGCGCACCGGGGCCACACGTAACACACTATTATTTCATGGAATATTCCGTAACACACTATTATTTCATGGAATATTCCGTGAAATGCCCCACAGGTTGGAGCCAGAGCTGGGCACATGCACACCTCTTCCTAGGAAATCACGACTAACATTTGCCTTGCCCTTGTTTATCTTGTTTATTTTTTTTCCAAGTTTTAATCCTAACAGAGAGACAGGGCTCCAGGGCACGATCCGGGGCAGACTCTCCCACATTACCGAGGTCCCTGCTCTGCAACCCTACCTGGCTGCCCACAGGTCACCAATGAAGTGAGGCAGAGCAAGGCATAGAAAAGCCTTAAAACACCCAGGATATTTTCATGGAGCACAGAGCCTCCCTGCCAGGAGGGCAGGGACCGCAGGGATCCGCARGGATCTGCAGGGCTCTGGGCTCACAGGCGGCTCCCGCCACGCCACCCTTCCCCACACTTGCAGAATCCTGGGTTTATTTTTCAGAAAACAGTTTGAGAATAAATATGGTTGCACATCAAGTATTCACTGGGGTTTACAAGCTTTTAAAAGCTGTGTTAGTTAAAAGCAAAGAGCCTGCTCCCCACCAATCTTTCTGGATTAAAAAAAATGGCAGTAACAAAATAGCTCCTTCTGAAAAGGAAGGGCAGGGAGCCGGGGCTCTGCTCCCCCACCACGTTTCACCAAGAGAGGGCAGCATCGACCAAGCGTCCAGTCTCCTGGAGCTCAGGGAAAGGCTCTACAGCAGGAAAGGCCTTTTTCCCCATCCAGTCCAGAGGAGGGTGCTCTGTTAAACCCCTGGGAATAATTCACATGTTTTCCACATATCTCAAATCCTACCTGTTCAAACCAGCCATGGATTTTTTTTTTCAATAAGCAAAATAAAATTCTCTAAGAGCAACACAGTTTATTAATTTATCAGGCAAACCTCAGGGGTCTGTTTACTGACAGGGGTAGTGATCAGCAGAGCTTTYAGGAGTGACTCACACCAAAAAGAGCTTACCTGGCTGTTTGGATCTCCAAGTAAGTTACATATATGTGGCACTATCTTGCTCAGTGTTAAACTCTGAGCTCCAGATCTGGGAATAAAGAACAAAAGAACAGTGTGAATTCAGAAGGCATGCACATGTATATAACCTAAGTTTGTGGTACATTTGACTTACGCATTGAGCGTTGCAATAAGGCAGAGGCAAATCCCTTCTCTTGTCCGGAAATTCTTGTGTTTGAATCCTCCTAGCATCCTATCCCACACGTACTGGGGAAGACAAGAGAGGGTAAGAAAAGGAGGCAGAAGAAAAGAGAGAGAGATTTTTCCAGTAAAAGCACAGTAACATATCGAGAATTTAAATACAAGCTTTGCATCCATCCGAGCAGAACAAGGCAAGTGGGAAGACATTTTTAGACTTTAAAGTACCTCTCCACTAGGCAAAGCAATAGTTCTGACTGCAGAAAGCAGGTGTCTTCCAGCTCCCAAACCAACCCCCTCAGCGTCACCCGCAGAGCCCCCTTGCAGCTGCTCGCCCCTATGCAGCAGGTTGTTGCACGTACCTGTGGATTGGCGGCCTGTTCCATGATTTTCAGCAGCAAGGTCTGATCCTGCTCCCGCACCAGATCCTTAGAGTCTCCGAGGCGGTCGAGCAAGCTGGGCAGCACTGCGGGGAGAGCGCGGCAGCCGTCACGGCTCGCGGAGGGAGCCTTCGCTCGCGGCCGCGGCGCGCGGAGCTCGCGGGGCCGGCAGCCGCAGTGGCGCCCGGCGCTCCCGGGCGTCACAGGCACCGCAGGCGCTTCCAAGCAAACGCGCTCTGGGACCCTGGGAGTTTGGGGCAGCGCAGTTTATTTCCCCGCCGGAGCAGGAAAGCAGGGGGGCACCCCGGGTAGGTACCCGATACAGCAGCTCCGAGGCCAGGCTGCTGCTTTCACTCGGGGCAGCAGCGAAAGGCCCCTCAGACCTGTGAAATGACTGAGGCGCCTGGCGAGCGCTGCCTCGGCGGGGGAAAGGCGTGCAAGGATACAGATTGTCCTCCAGGGAAACACACCGAGTAGTTCATTTTACTACAACCACGAGCCTCCTTTCAAGCTCAGCGTACACAGATTAGCTGGGGAAAACTGAAAGGTGCTCTGGTATCTGCACCTCATCTCCCAGGCCAGCCCCATGGGCCCAACAGCAGCGGCAGGTTTCCCTGGAGCCGGGATGAGCGGACGCGGGCGCTCGGCTTCCTCTGCCGCCGCTCCTTACCTGTGCCGATCTGCGCCTTGAAGCGGTCCTGCAAGCGCGACACCAGCGCCGAGATGATGTCCATGCCCAGCAGCACCACCTGCAAGCACAGCACGGGCGGTGGTGAGCACCGAGCCCCACGCAGGGCTGCCCCACGCAGGGCTGCCCCTCGGGGTGCCACACGCTGCCCCCCCCCTAACACCCAGAGCCCCCAGGATTCAGCCCCTCGACATTCCCAACACCCGGGCAAACACCTGGAATAACTGGAGCACAGCGCTACGCACACATGCACATACTCGATGTCTGCACACATTGCACAGCTCGCTGCAGTTGAAGTTTCTAACCCATTTTAATTATTATTTATGCTGAGTTATAATTGGAAAGTGGTGCGCACCAACAGCTGCCTAATTATCGCCTCGAAGTTATTTAAAGACTAGCAGGTTTACGCCATAACCAAGGCACAAAGGGGAGGGAGAGGCTGCGGGGTGGGTTTCGGGCACGCGGGCTACCGGCCCCGGCTGTGCTCAGCGCGAGGTGGGGAACCCCCCACCCCAATTCCCGGTCCTTCCCGGCCCTTCCCGAGGGCCCGGCTGCGCCTGGAGGCCGCAGGTCCCGCCGCGCGGCCCGCAGGGGGCGCTCCCGCCTCCCGCCGCCACCGCCCAGCCCCGTATGCAAATCGCCGCCCGCCCGCCTCGCGCAGAGCACTCTGGGTGCCGCCCACCGCCGGCAAAACGGCTGAAACGGGCGGCACGGAGGCAGGAAACGGCCGCTCGGGGGGCTGCGCCCGCTCGGAACACGCTGTGGGGCCGGGCGGCGGGGGCGGCGCGCGRGCGCTCGCCCCGAGCTGTGCGGAGGTGGCCGTGGCCCTACGGCGGCGGCGCGGCGTGGTGCAGCAGCCGTCCTTATCTTGGGGTTGCGCGGCTGCTCAATGAACGCGTGGTGAGAGCAGCACTGCTAACGCCTGAGCAACACGCTCGCGCCCGCCGCTCGGCGCGGCGCAATTTTTGGAACCGCTGCGCCCTGCCCAGCACCTCGCGACCCGCGGGCCCGGCCCGCGCAGAGAGCTCCCGTGGCTGCAGTGCCGAGCGACTGGCTGTGCACGGCCCCGGCCCGGCAGCACCGAGCGCTGCTCCTGCGGGCACTGGCCCCTGCTCCTGCGGGCACTGGCCCCTGCTCCTGCGGGCACTGGCCCCGGCTGAGCGCGGGCAGGGCAGCTCCTCCCGGCACAGCAGTGTGTGCGGGAGGCCACTCGGCAAATACAGACATATTATATATATATATATATATAGGTTCCTTGTGCAGAGCAGCGTTACCGCAGAGTCCCTTACACTACTGCATGTACTAACTCCCTCACATACTAAATCACTCAATCATCGCTGCTGCAGTTGCTTCACATGTAAGCGGACGGTAACCCAGGCTTTCTAGCAGCAAGGAACAGCAAGAGAGTGCAAAGGAAGCAGTTGACTTGGAAAGCACCTGGATCATACCTTCTCCCAGCTTAGCTTTCTACCTCCTTAGGTGACTAAGCTGCTCCAAACAGCTGCCACAACATTCTTCCAAAGTAAAGAGCTGCTTTAAATGTATCATCTTTAACTCAACAAGTTCCCATCAAAATCCACGATCAATTAATGCTCGATGGGTCCCTTTAAAACAGCTCTAACTCTTCAAGGCCTGAATCAGCCACCACAACCTAACTGGGCACCCGAGACATCAGTGGTGGCTAAAATTAGCTGCCATTTGCAGATTTAGAGTTGAAGTCAGGTATATATTTTGGATRAGGAGAAAACCCCTGGCAGGGGGACAAACATAAGGTCAGCTCAGGAGGCGCTGACTCCTCTTCCCACCTTGCTCCAGCACAACCACATCTGCGCTGCAGGAAGCATCTCATGCTGCTGCTTCAGCACAGTTAACATTTAATGTTAATGGCAGAGTCGTGTTTTGGGGCCACTAACTTGTCATTTGGCACCCCAAGCCCTCCAAGGGCAGCTGTCTCCTGGGGACATATGGGCTTTTCCACTGGAACTGACACCCTGGCCTCTCCAAACACCTTCACGGTGGAAAAACATTCCTTAACTTTCTCATCATTCACCTAAAGATTTTCAGTCTTYTATGGGATGGAAGTGTGAGCTTCCAGCTGAAGTGGCAAGAATGGGTTGTTTTACACGAGGTAGGAGCCTTTTTAGGGGTTCTGCTCTGCCCTGCGGTGCCCCTGCCCTGCTCTGCAGGCAGGGACTGAATTCCTAAGAACCAGAGATCCTCCTTCTTTCCCAGAGACCCTTCCTGCGTCCTCGGGTCCCCCCGAGCAGCACTGAAAACCAGGAGCAGCAAATGCCACCTCYGAAGGTCAGCCCAGCTTTTGCAGCTCCTCGCGGGCACCAATAACCACAAGGCAACACTCGCTGCCACCCCATAAAACAGCATCCAGAAAAGAAATAAGGGTAGTAATAGAAGGAAAAAAAATACACATTTCAGTGCCCTGCATTGCTCTTCATGGGGAGACTGAAAGCCCTCGTTACGGCAACTACTAAATTGCTAGGGTAGCAATGTGCCTTTCAACAAGCCAGCCTGGCTGCCCAGTAAGGGGATCCCCCCCCCGGCCTGACAGCAAGAGGCTGCAGCAGTGCACAGGGGAAGGGGGAAATCACCTTACTTGTAACCTGCCCCAGGCAGAGCTGCGTTGGCTGCAGCTGATAACGCTCCTGGCACCAAGGTGCTGACTAGCTCCATCTCTACCATCCGCGCGAACAGAAAGCACTCAGCATGTCTCAAACCACAGCAGAAACATCTCCRCAGACTTGCAATAGCCTTTCCAGCAGCCACCACCATCACCGTCCGGGCACGGACACCAGACACTTCCACAACCGTCAATAACCTCAGCGGTGCAAGAACAGCTTCTCTCTTGGCGGTACAAGAGCAACTTCTCTCTACCGAGAGAGGAAGAAAGTCCCAATCTGCCTTTGCTAGCAGCAAGAGAAACAAACTGCAGACAGCAGCCCACAGAGGCAGAGAAACAGATGGGTAAGAAAGGGGAAAGGGCTGCTGCTGGCAGGAGGGGATGTTTCCCCCATGGAGGAATCCGCACTGGAGCGGGAATCCCAGCCCTGCTGAGAGCTGCTCCACCTTCCTGAAGCTCACGGAGGCTTGAAGGCCTTTCCTCCCGTGCATATCAAGCATGCTCAGCACTCGCACGGGTRCGCCTAGCGAAACACAAACACAGCAAGGCAGAGAAGGCGAGTCCCAGCCCCGGCACTCGCCGGGCGCCCGACGCCACGTCTGCAGACCCGCGCGAGCACCCGCGACCACAGCGCTCTGCTCGGGCAGCTGCTTCCCTGGCCTTGCCGGCTCCTCGCGCACGGCACAAGCGCCTCCCCGGAACTTCTCCACACTGCATTCAACCAGCTCCCATYAACCTCCCAACTGTGGTTTCCCCAAGTCCAGCTCCTGGTACAATTCTCCCTCAATCCAGGCATGATTTCAGTATCTTTTAAGATCTGGGAATAGATTATCCACTATGAATTAAGTTTCTCTACCTGGTCTAGGAAAGAGCAACCAGAGGAAAGACCCAAAGCTCAGCTATCTGAACAGYGAGCAGCACCAACTTCTACAGCAGTGCCTCCAACTAAGCCCAGGGGAGAGGAGCAGCCTCCCCTTTCCAACTCGCTCCCGTCCTGAGCTCCCTCCAAGCTGTGTTCCCCTCCCTAGGCCCGAGGCCATCACTCTGCTGAGACCCATAGCACCGGCTGAAGCGCCGCTGGGCCGAGCCCCCCAGGGCAGCACTGGAAACAGGAGCCTTTTCAGTCATTCCCAACAGCTACACAGGGACCAGAGCAGCCAAGCTCAGCGGTTCACATCGGGCTCGCCCTTGGGCCACGTTTGTGCAGCCAGAAACGCAAACAGGCTCTGCAGTCTCAACCCGCAGCCACACAGGACCCGCGAGACCTCCTGCCGGGTCTCCAGAGCTCTTCAGCTCTTAAATCACTGAATTCCTGGAGGGGTGGGGGGAGTAACAGGACAGAAAACACAAACGCCTCCAGTGAAGCCAAGGGAATTCCTCATCCTGACTTGACCAAAGGAGCCGGCAAGAACAAGCCGAGTAACTGACAGCACAAGTGGAAAACCAATTGGAAAATTACAGGGACAGGCCACACGCGTTTTGGCTTCTATCCACAGCTCGAAAAGCCCATTTAAACACGCAGTTGCTATCAAGGCTCCAACATMGCAGCTATGCTGGAAAGAAAAAGCACCCTCGGGCTGTGAATCCCCAAACAAGCATCCATTACTACAGAGGCTTCCAAGAATTCTTGTGGATTGGTACAAGAAATTACTTCACCGTTTAACTAAATCATTAGCTCGTGGATTAATTATTTAAACCAAGACTCTTAGGAAACAAAAATACATCAGAGGGACAGAAGCTGTTGCTGCAGTACAGGCAACCACTGTCCATTCCAATGCTGACACTGCAAAAGCGGAGCGGGTTGTGATGATGCCAGGAAGGTCCTAAGGAATCAGGCACCTCCTTTCACACTGCAGAGYGTTTTCACCGTGCTCTTCCCTTCTGAATTCCACCACTGTTCTCAGCAAAACACCAATTAAGCTGAATCAAATGCTCAAATAATCCATTAAACGGTGATCAGGAAAACAGTTGAGAGGCTTATTGCATCAGTCACTCATCTACAGCTGAAAACAGCCTAACTTTTTGCTGAACAGGACACACTATATGTATATGAAAACAAGAAATTAATAGCACAGCTTACTGAATCACTCCAATTAAAATCAACTGGTTTTATTAAAGGATCTAGCAATATTTATAATTAGTAAAGGAACTGACTCAACTGGCCTCAGTCATTTAAAAGCACTAAGTTGCCAAGAAATTCTAATGGAGATTTGGTGAAACTTCCTATAGCAGAAATTAGGTGTCWGTATAAGTGGATATCAGCAGCACTCAGAGTTATCAAAAAACCTCTCTAAAAAGCTTCAAAAACCTTTTCTAATGCAATTTGCTCTGTTACTCAGGTTGAAAGTTAAACAAGCCTTCCTGCCCCTGTACCTCTAAAAGCTATTTTTTGACTTTGAAGAATATATTCCAAATAAAAACCACCA